ACAAAGCTTGCAACCTCTCCTCCTCTGCATTCCTGACATAGCAGGCTTCTGTGTGGTGTCACTCTACTTTGACCAGTTTCTTTTGTCTAAGTTCCAGATTTTTGGTACTCCAAGGATTATTGTTTCACTGCGTAGCTGGATGCCTTCAACCACTTGTATTTTTGACTTGATATTGCAAAAAAGATGAGGGAAGAAGAAAAGGGAAAAGAACAAAATTCTCATTTTAGTGACATACCTCACGTGAATCCACTGCTGCATACACAATGTCCATCCAGCCTTTAAAAGTTGCCTGAAAAAAATGCATTATTAAGTTTGTTATCACTGAGAAAAATCAAGTATAGCTAATATAAATGTGTTGATAGTTGCAGAAAATTAGCAGTGTGCCATAAAAAATATGCATCACTTCTAAAGATCTGCTGGGAAGTATCACTGGAGTTTAGTAAAGAGAAAAAATATTTCCCGAAAGAAAACAAAAAAACCCATAACTCATGTGAAATGTATGTTAATGTTAACTCTCATTAAATTCAAAATTTTTGTAAAAAAAATCAGTAAAATTTTAACCTTAACTTATAAATATAATGTGAAAGTATAAAAACAATTTCTGAGAAAACAGCARACAATTCCTTCCTGCAATTTTTAGCAACTCTGCAGAATCATAGAATACTTTAGAGGATCCAGGGCAAAGAACTTCAGCTAAAAAAGATACAGCGATAACAGCCAACTTAAAAATTGCCTTTCTCTCCTTTGTTGTCMTGTTAGGGAGCTCAATAAATTAGTATCCCAATCCTTCATGACTTCTACAGCAAAAGAAAATATAAATAAACTGTGCCCTGATTTTCTTTCTCATCCAATCTAAGCTAGAGAAAATGAGAATATTTTTAATTCAGTAACTTGCAGACTATTTCGGGCTTAGAGTGTTAATCAAAATTAAAACAAAATTGAAAAGTCATGAAACAGAGTTCTTGATTTTAATACAAGGTTGCATATGCTCAAGTGTTCTGTAGGAGGAACTGAGCAGGTCACCAACAAGGAAAATATATATGGAAGCTAAAAAATATCCCCAATTTCAGTGGGATAAACAGAAGCATAGAGGTTTCCCATGGTTGTGCTGCTCAACCCATTTCCTTGAAGAAAACAAAACTGAGAATGTTTTTATAGAACTCACCACTTGGAGCAGAGCCAAGTATCCCATCCCAACATTATCAAAGTTTACAGGAGAATTTGTCCATTTTCCACCATAAGACACACAATCACGTCTGTTATTAATGAGACTGATATTTCCTTCCTGGAGTATGCATTTTGAAAATCTTTTCCCAAGCCATTTTACTCCTAAAATGTTAAATAGGAGCCAAAAGACAACACAGACGAGCAAAACATTGAAGATTGAGGGGATAGCTCCAAGGAGTGCATCGACAACAACCTGAACAAAATGAATGAAAATAATAGTGAATTTTATGTTGTCATTTTCAAAAACATCTTCAAATGCAGCCATTACAAAAAATTCACACCGACCCCCAATATCTTTACCTTTATCCCTTCAAATCTTGACAAAGCTCGTAGAGGCCTCAATGCCTTAAGAGTCCTGAGAGATTTCAGGCCACTCCAAGAGGAACAAGGTGATACATCTTTGGGATCATGACTTAGTCCCCAGGAAACAAATGACAGCTGTGTTCATAGAATTGGAACTGGGATTATTAAATGGTAAACAAATTTTCCCTTGTTTGTGTTAGCAAACAATCATTACCTGAATGTTACAATATCTTTGATCAGTAAGTCAAATTAAGAAAATATACATTAAATTTAAAGTTATTGTAATTTTACATCATTCTTTTCTAGTATATTTAAAAAAACCCTAAAGTCATGGTACATATTCTTTATAAATAGCCATAATATTAGACCTTCCTGTTGAAATTTCCTACTACTTCACAACTTTCAATGCTGACTATTCTGAAGTCATCAAACAACTACTTTGATGTTACCATCAGTCATCTGTTTACATGTCCTTTTCTTTAAATACTTAACTTCAGAATCTTCCCAGTGTGATGTTGACAAGCATAGATGTTTCACTTTTATATGGCAAGATTATAATAATTAAGATTGTCTGAATTCATAAGAAATATGTAGGAATTGTATACTACACTTAAGTCACTACTGGTGTTTTCAACATGTATCTTTATAAATATGCAAAGGATTGCTGGGATTTCTCTTTTGCAAAGCAGAAAGTTCTTTCCTACGTCTTTAACATTCTGGTAAATGATTTTTCCAACAATACTTTTCAACTCCCTTTACTATCTAAGTTTCTTCTCCTTCAAGGAAGCAACTCTACCTTTTTTCTGTTTCTAAATGCCAAAATCATGGATTAATGGAATGGTTTGGGTTGGAAGGGACCTTTAAGATGATCTAGTCCAGAACTGCCAGTAGCTTCTCATTTTTCTATCGGTTTAAGTAATTTATTTTAGTTTTGTTTCTGATCACTAATTGAACTCCTTCTCTCCACTTGAAAAGGTTTTTAGAGCCATCATGGTCCTCAGTGATGGTGACACCTAATGAAATTTTCTCAAACAACTCCTCGTTATTGCTGAAAATTTCAATTTAAATTTGTCCTAAGGTCTCTTTAAATTGCAGATTTTTCACCTTTTGGAAACTGTCTATCACACTTGTTGTTATCCATAATTAGAAGTTACATGTAGTTATCTAGATAGAAAATGTCAAAAATCAAAATGTATGACAAGTTGAATATAATACTTACACATACAATGACAAAGTCAAGCAAATACCAAGAATTTGTGAAGTAACTCTGCAATCCATAAGCTACCCATTTCAGAAGCATCTCCATCAAAAAGATGTAGGTAAATACTTTGTCAGCATAATCTAGGATCATTTTCACTGTTTTTCTATTCTGCAGGTGAATATCTTCAAATGCCTGGAATTTCAGAATTCAGTTTTAAAACATTTTTTAAACAAATAGTTGTATGGAAAATTACTGTTAAATTGCACAAGAATACACAGTTTGTCTGATTACAACAATTTCATATTAAATTATGGGCAACCACCACTTAGTTTTATACTTAGAAGTAAAAAAATGAATTGTAAAATAAGAGCAATCTCATTTTCAGGTTGTTGAAAAATCAAATACTTTCAGGTTTTTATTCTCGACATTTCAAAACTTGTCTGAGGATGGGCAATTGTGGCTACCACATTCTGGCTTCCCAATGTAACTGATAATTTTGAAGGTGTTGGTGGAAATTCTTCACAATAAAGCCTGACTTGAACACATTAACCACTGTCTTTCAGACTCTGACCTTCCAAATGAGTCATCTTTAGTCAGCCTGCAGAGTTGTAATACACACATGGAAAAGAATGACAAACTCCTTAGCTGGAACTGTTCATTCCTGGAGTTACAGGTTTTTTCACCTAAACCTTGACCTTGAGGTTTTAGGAAAATGCTTTATTGATCGCTGCTGTTCACATCAGTGTTTGCTTGTGTTTAATGCATTTGCTGCCTGCCTAATTAATTTTGAGTTTTTGATATTGCAAATCTACTCCCAATTCCTTTTACATCTTGCATTATTTCCTCACCAAGCCTCCACTTCTCCCCTACCCACTTCATTGAGGTATTAACAGCAGACCTGATTTGCTCCCCTGCACTTAAGACATGCCTAAAAACCCATCTAAAAGGCCATGGGAAAGGTGGAGCAGGAGCATAGACCACTGAAAAAACAAGGAGCAGAGATGCTCCTAGGTATAATCCAATAAAACTTATGCACTCCTGTTCTGCAGTGTTAGAAAACAGTGATTCTGCTTCTGGACCTAAAGGGGTCTTTCAATTGCACAACAATTAGGAGAAATGCCTCCAGAGCAGAGCTGTCCCTGTGCCCATGGGACTGTTCATTTGAGTGTGGGTAAATGAGAACTTCTGGCATTCATGTACATAAACCTATTTGCCATTTCTGACCTTTTTTCTTGAGCAAGTCTGATCATATGTCCTCTTATTCCCTGCTAAACCTTGGCTACCTTGATCTCCATCTACCAGTCAAACCACCTGCTCATTAGCAGTGATGTTTTTTCATACTTTTAACTACTGTTTTTCTACTTTTTAAAGTATCTACTCACTCTTAATTGCTGCTACCTTTAAAAGTTAGAATCTACTTAAGTTYCTAACTACTCTTCCTTTGCTCTGAGCACTGAGCACTCACCATGGACTTTTCTGTGCATTCTTTCTGTCATCAGCATCTCATTTAATTTCCTTTCAAGGCAAGGACACCGTGATTTACCTTTGTTCTAACTGGTTCAGACAATTCCCCACCAGCATACAACTTTATAAACAAAGAAACCCAGCCAAACAAAAAACAGACAAGTCCCTTTTTGCAAGAGGACAACAGTATCTTAGAAATGTGAAAGTTCTCATTGTTAAACATCTTCGATGACAAGAAAATGTTGTTGTATTGTGTAATTTTTGCACCTGGGTACCAATTAGCTTTGTGTTCAACTTAGTCAGAACCTAGAGCACATTAAAGAATAACTCAGTTTCCTTCCTTACTTCAGCTTGGTTCCACATAAATAGAGAGGAGCCCTCACAAGAATCCCAGGGATTTCCCTTGGAAACTTTGCCATGGGAATTTAAAAGCAGATAGTTTAAATCTATGGTTCAGTGAACAACCTGAACTTAACGTACACAGAGCAGATTTTATTTGAAAAATTCTGACTTTTACCACATAGATCCCCTTATTTGGTTGTGTTCCTTCTGCATTATAAAACATTCTATTTAACAAATTACTTTCAGTCGACAGTGAATATGCTTTCAAATCATAGAAATTCCCTTATTCTTGAGTAGAAATGGATCTGATCAGGGTAGCAACAAAACATTACCTCACCTATGAGTTTACAGCCAACTTTGCTTTTAGATTCTAATCATAATGTTTTAAAAACGCTTTAAACATTTAGAAGTGCTATTATTTTATTTAAAAGTGCTAAGTAATTTCAGACTCTGGTTTAGCCTTGTAATTAACACACAAATGTATGAAGAACTATGTTCCATGAATAACTACAATTCCATATAGTTAAATCCATATATTTAAATATCTAAGTGAGGGAAAACCTTAAGGGGATATCCCCACTGTTAAGGGATACATTTACTACACTTTATGTCTCTCTGCTGGAAGGAATGTCACAGTAGAGGAGATCAATCAAATATTAGTATTTTCCTTTACTGACAACAATCAATGCAAAATTAGAGAAATTAAATGCAATTTACCAGTGCTGCACTGCTCAATACTATCACAAAAACCATAAAATATTCAAACCCGCTATGGTTAACAATTCTGTAGCAGGTTTTCCTGAAGTTCCACCAACTTCTGCCTGGAAACTTAGTGATATCCACTACACAACATGGGAAACATTTACCACAATCTGAAAAGAGAAAGAACAGTATATTGGTCTATGGAAAATGCTGAGACATGGAATCAAAACAGTATAGGGCATCCTAAAGAGAGCTTCTACAGACTAGAGAAAGAATGTGCTGTTTTACTTATGAGGTGATGCTGTGGTTGAAATGATCTAAAGCTAAAGAAAAAACTTGTATGCCAAAATAATCTCTTTTAATAGAGCAACACATACATGGAAAAAACAAATAAGCTTTTGTGCCCTTCTTCAGAAAGGCTGGTGGGCACAGGGAAAAAAGCACCTTTACTTCTATATTTGTTTATTTCTTCTTTTTGTTTTGAAAAGTGATAGTACCTTACTAGTAGGTTAGTCAATTATTATTTTTACTGATTATTACACTGTTTTGCACTGCAGAGACATTACAACTCCCTGTTCACTGCTTTGCACCAGAAACACTCTTCATGAAGTATTGAAGCATGAGAAGCTATGGAGTCTAAGGAGATGGTCAGGTAATCAAAGGCAGATGTCAACTCTGGGACGAGCAGGAAAACAGATTCTGCTAATTTGGACATGTTCCAAGTGGATATTTTTTAACACTGTTCGTTTGGTATTAGCACAATAAAGGAAAGATTCCTACTTTCTCCAAAACAGTCCTTAGGCAGGTGTGAGTTTTCAGTGTGGAAAAACATCTCCAGACCAACAACTGCATCCACACTACTGGCTTCCGAAAAGCTGTGAGCAGCACCACATTTCTGCATGGGAGAAGAAGAAAGAGGAGAATTTATTTGCTTTTCATTACTAAGGTAAAAAAACAAAAATAAACAAAATTTATAATCCCCTGCCCCCCTCCCCAAAGGAATTCTGCAGTCTATAAATTACCTTACTGTTGCTGAACTACCAAAATGAAATTACAAAAAATAGGACAGAAAAAGCCAATCCCTACTCTATGTTTCCATGCTTTTAAATTAAGAAGTTCTTTGGTTTCTTCTTGTCATCCAAAGGGGACATGCAGGAAGAAGAAGACTTTCTTATGCTACAACTTTGGACAAAAGTCTGACTTCTTCAGGCCAATCCAATTCTCTTTTTCATTTTCAGAGATACAAACCATGTCTCAAAAGGCTTGAAGATGGTAAGGTCTAGCAGGATAGAAATGTATGTATGGACTACACACCTCAAAGAATTGCAATTACTGGTAGGTAACCTACACACTTGTAAAACTAAAGACAATAAGGAAAGCAAGTATAAGGAAAAAAGAGTAAATAATGTGCCTGAATGGCATGGAAAGTGAAGGCATGAGGATAGGGATAAGAATGGGAAGCCAGAAGAAGGGAGAATTTCCTCTGTCGACAGCCATGATGCTCTACATGAGTCTAAGGTCCTAGGGAATCTTCACCATATACAAAAATGCAATTATTTAAATTAATGGGCACTGCAATGTTTTCAGTATTATTTGTAAATATAAACACATTTCAATAATGTATAACAAAGAAAAATTCTGGCAACTGTGCATAAAACCAAAAAATGGTTATGGGGTTGGACTTTTGGGGGTAGTAATCCAGAAAGATGCTGAACTTCCATTTAATTTGCTGGGTCATCAGAGGCAAGCCATGATTCTCCACCTTTTTTTTGATATGGAACTGTACTGTATTAGAATATTAGAATGAGCTGGGTTTCTATATCTGAAAAAGCATGGTTGCTCAGGGAACCATTTCTAGAGAGCACATTTTTGTATCCAGGAATGACAGCAAACAGAATTATCCATAGAAACAGGTGGCCTGTATCAGACATGCTTACAGTAAGTGTGTTTCCTGGTTAATTTCTGTTTACTTATTTTGTACAAAATTATACATTAAGTTACACCATTAACCATGGCTATTGATGAGACACAAACCTCCATGCTATTACTGTCTCTAGAGAGATGTGCCACCTCCACAGCCATTATATTTGCTACTCTTTGGAAAATCCCAATCTGTCCTGTCATTGCTGAATGAGAGAACAGCTGTGACAATTTGAATCTCTAGCATATTCCACAAGATGATAAAAGTTAGAATTACCTCTTTTTGCTCTTGCTTTTCATGTGTTACTGTGAAAACATTTATGGTTTCAGGAGTCTTAGAAATCTGATTGAAGCTGCCTGAACTCTGTTGCTGTTCTCTATGCTGTTCTCTAATCTGTCTCCCTGCAGGAAATAATGGAAACCTTTCCAACAGGTTTAAAAAGTCAGAATTTTTAAAAGTCAGAATTCTTTTACAGAACATCCACAAAATTTAGAATCACAGAAGGGTTTGGGTTGGAAGGGACCTTAAAGATCAACTAGTTCCAAACCTCCTGTCATGGGCAGAGAATCTTCCACTAGCCTGTTTGTCTTTTTACAGATAATTAAATGATATCCATAAAATGCTTGTAATAGAATGGTTTCTTCCTTGATTTCAAACAGTGTGCTCTTGAGGTTTTACTGTGGAAATGTATCGTTCCCCAAGAAATACATTTAGCCCAGGGATGGATTCCTGCATCCAATTAACCTTTGCAGCTGGACCCCAACAGCCTCATGCTTCCAGTTACAGGCAGAGGACCTAAGTGATCCCAATCAGTTCTCAGTCCTTTTGTCTCCACAAATTCCAAGAAAGATCAGATTCCACTGCAGCAGTTTTTGTCATCAAATGCTTCTGGATAACATCTTTGAAATGGCCACAGATGATTCTAAGGTGATCAGCAATTTTTGCTTCTTTGAGAACTTGTCCAAAGACATGCCATTGACAATGCTTCCTAATATGACCCAAACCACAGCAAATGGCAACTGAGAAGAGACATAGAAGCATCAGAAGAGGCTGCCTTCCAAAATGTGTAAGGCAAAGGAGACAAAAAGAAGGAATGTCTGTCTTCATCAAACTTTATTTATTTGTTGACAGCAATAGATGGAAACAAAACAAACCAAAGCAGAATTATGGCTATCCATGAAGAGAACGGTGAAAAAGTTGATATTCAAAATGTCTTTGGAAAATGAAGACTAGAAGAATGAAGTAAAATGGCAGAAATGACAGAAGGGATAATATTTACTGTTGAGTCTTTGAGATGGCAATTACAGATGTAAGTTACAGTATTTTTTTTAAATATGAACAGTTCTTACCTGTTTTCTGTGTTCTGTTTCTGTGACTACAGAGTGCTCATCATCACTTTTGTCACTGTAACTCTCTGATTTTGCAATGGGAACACAGGTACTGTGACTGCTGGAAAGATCTTCGTATTTCCTTGATATTGAGGAATTCTCTTCATTATGGTAACACTCTATGTCAAAGCAATTGTTGTCTATGTATTTTCTGACATCTGTCATGGCATAATTATTATCCTCTATGTTTTTGCCAGAAATTTCTTCCAAAGTCTTCTTTTTCTCTGTTTTTCTGAGGCTTCCTTTCATTTTTCTGCCACAAGGATCCAGAATTCTGTCTTTCAAAGACTTCAGGCCCTGGTGAATCTGTGCAAGGGCAATCTGACATTTAGTCCTTTCTCCAGGTTCCTCTTGTCCTCCTGAGGCATCAATATTCAATGAACTCATCACCAAGGCAATGAACAAGTTGACCACCTTAAAATAGTTAAAGTAAGTTAGGGACGCTACCGCTAACAGAAAAGACACTTCAGAAACCCTCAGTCTTGCTTTCATCAACATTGCCATGAAATTATTTACTATTATATTGCAACATTGTTATAGTATGATCTGGCCCCTTCTGGAAGGAATGGCAGGAGAAAACAGAAGGACGTGAGGGTTTGGGTATATCAAATATATTTTCACCTGCTCTGATGTCCATAACGTATGAGGAGATAGATATGTTGAAAAAGAGCAAAGATGAGTTTTAATAACACCACCATCCAAAAGGGTCTGGTATAGACCAACAAACCAAGCAGATGAAAAAGATTTTGTCTTCCAGTACATTTACATTCCATCTACTATATGTCATACAAAACAGAAAATCTAGGTATGGTAACCTCTTGATAATACAAGTTGATAAGCATTAAAAGCACTGAACAGTTTGGTTATTGGATCTTATCAACACAAAAGATGAAGACATCAGATACCACATTATCAGAAGCACTGCACTTCTATACTGTGGGGAGAGGGAATAATTTGGCATTGCTTCTACCTCTTGTGTGAGAAAGACAGGGGAAAAGTAAAAAAAAAAAAAATATTGAAGAAAAACATGTCAAGTGACATCCAGAAAAGAGAATAGTGTGAATACTCTTGAAATGATAAAGTTTCCCTCTGCAAAAATCAGTTGCCAGTGTAACTGGATGCATTCAGTAGGGACTGGGAATCAGCTTAAAACTCACCACCAGGTTTCCTATCACCAGGACTAGCATGAAAAAGGTAATACAGATCCCCTGTCCAGCCACTTCCATACATTCCCACATCATTTCAATCCATTCTCCACATAAGATTCGGAATATAATCAGGACTGAATGACTGAAATCCTTCATATGCCAGCGTAAATCCTTACTGGTGCTTATTTTATGGAATTTTTCTTCATAATTACTGCCCAGAAGCTGCATTCCTAGTACAGCACAAATAAATACAGTGATAGCCAAAACCAGAGTGAGGTTACTCAGAGCACCAAATAACTTTAGAATTATTTTCATAAGAGTATTTAAGGCTGGCCAATACTTTGCCAATTTGAAGATCCTGATCTGTAAATAAAACACAAGAGAAAAATAAAGATCAAACACAGCCCAGACAGCACAGCCCACACAAAAACCAGACCCTGCATTTATCATGCTGCCTTTACTGTAGTAACACTGTCATTTTTCCCCAAGAAAGGCTTTTAATTGTTTTGATGCAAAACTGCTGTGCTTAAGCTCTAAGAGTTAATGTTATTGAGAGCAGAGAAGTATCAAAGGAAGGTTTCAAATTGTTTGTGCTAAGTTAGATACGAGAGTGTGCCAGTGTAATAATGTTAATAGCAATACAATTAACAGGTATAGAGTGAAGTAGGTCACGAGTACTTGGAAAAGGTTATGAAATTACTGAGTTTTGGTCAAATGCAATAAGACAAATATTTTTTTATACCTCTCATCAAGCAGACTTAAAATAGGATCTGAAAAGCCAGATGGGACCTACTCTATGTACTGCCACGAGTAAAAAGGAGGTATTTGGTCAAATTAGCATTCAGAGCTGTGAAAATCTCTCAGTAATGATAAACAAGGGGAAACACAATTCAACTGCATTTCTAGGCTTGTGGACTGAAATGCTCAGAAGAATTTTGAAATAATTAGTAAATTTAACATTAAAAATATGCAGTAAGGACATAAATATAAAAGCAATGTTATACACAGACATCTCAGAACTATTCCTCTTTCTCCCTAAAATGGAGGAAAGCACTGAAGAGCCCTCAAGGCCAAGACTAAGCCTTGAGGAAAGCTCTGTTATTTTACAAATCTCAGCTCAAAAGGAAAAGCTGTGAAGGAATCGTTGCTATCCTATAGCACAGGAAAACAATCAGATAATATCTGCTCCTGATTGTAGCTCTGAAATGTAGTTGAGCAGTGCCACTGTACAGACCTAACAGAGAACCAGTGAACTCTCTGCTGGGTCAGATCTCCCTGGCAGCACACTGTGCCAGAGGATTTGTAGTATCCAATATACACAGTATAATAAACATACTTTAAAGTATTCTTTAATATTAATTAATATTTGCTTTAATGAAATGTTCATGTTGGCTTACAATTTACCAACAAAGAGAACTGATTTGACAGATTCATCAGTAAAATAATGACAAGATATTTCACTGTAATCATTCACAAATCTATACAATAAACGTACTTTTAAAAAAAGCAAAGAAATCATTACCACTCTGAAAGGTGACAGAATGGTTCCAAAGCTCAGTAGGCCAATCAAAACAACCAAGCTATCAAAAACATTCCACTTGTTCTGAAAATAGTAGTAAGGATCTAGAGCAATGATTTTCAAGATCATTTCTAGTGTAAAAATCAGGGTGAAGACCTGGAAAGACAAAAAAGAAATTCAGAAAAGGTCACTCAAGAAGTCTGTCTCCTTATGGGACTGTTCCAGTATAAATACAGGGTTATAACCCAATATCCACCCTAACATAGACCTCACTTACCTCATCACTTATAGCAATCATTTTTCTGGTTTCTGGCAACATGCCAGGGTGCTCCATAGCCATCAATAAGGTGTTCAAGATAATGCAAACTATGATAAAGAGATCAACAAATGGATCCAAAATCACCAATTTCACCTTCTCTTTGACTGCTCTGCAGAGTGGACAACAATTCCAAACTAGACACTTCAGAGCAAAACGTTTCCACAATGCAGGACATTTCACTTTTGACTCTAGCAGAGAAAGAAGGAGAGTGGCATATGAGTAATACTGTGTGGAATATCACAGTGTGAAGAAAAAGACAGTCAGAGAAAAGATTGGAAAGAAAAATCAATCTCATGTGAGCAGAATGGCATCATTGAAAAGAGTTGTTTCACTCCTACTACACAAAATAGGCTACACTAAACACAGGTTATTGCAGGTCACCCCCAACAAATGTCATAATGACAGAAACAGGGGATATTCCCCACCTCTTCATATGTTTATTATTCTTTCCTGTGAGATTGGGGAGGCCCTGGCACAGGTTGCCCAGAGAAGCTGTGGATGCCCCATCCCTGGGAGTGTTCAAGGCCAGGTTGGATGGGACTCTGAGCAACCTGGTCTAGTGGAAGGTGTCCCTGCCCATGGCAGGGGATAAGAACAAAATGATCCTTAATGTGCAATCCAACACAAACTGTTCCATGATTCTATGATTACACTATTAAAGGATGATAAAGGATCTGCATTAAGGAGAGAAATCACTGTTTCTGGGACAATGACAACCTGTTTCCTGTGAGTTGAACCTGCCCAGCCACAGGTGTCCATAGCTGAGGACAGGCTTATAAGTGAGGTTGGAGGAGAGCTCAGGGGATCTGTAGTGCAACCCCCTTCTCCAAGCAGGGTCAGCCATCAGGTCAGAGACTGCACAACCTGTTCCTCTGAAAATGGGCAACGTTTCTGCTTACACACACTTTGAAATTCTCTTCTTTCAATCAAGTTGGTCAGGCATGATTTACCCTTGGTAACTGAGTTATAGTCACAGTTATATGAGATATGAGAATATTTGTTTTCCTGAAGTTTACATTTGCAGCATAATTTCCCCTAGTGGTTTTAAAAATAATGTTGAGTATTTGAGACAGTTTGATCTCTCAGGTCACATTACACAAACCCATAGGAAAAGTTACTTACCTGAAAAGTCTGTAAGAATAGCAGCTGCACTCATTAACCTCTGTCTTCGGTAAGGATCATTAATAGAGTCCACTGACACATCATAGGACAGCAGGATCTGCCTCTTTGGTTACAAGGACAACAGAAGGTAACATAGCAAGGGAATATGAAAAACTGGCAATACAAAAATTATGTCCAGCATGACATAAATATGCCTTTTTAAATACACATTGAAGGGAAGCTTTACTTTGGTGACAATATATAAAACAAAAAATACAACACTGACCTCGTTACTGCTGCTCATCTGTCTTTAACTGGGGATGAGACACTGGGATTTAAAATAGGAATATGCACTAGAGGAATGATCCATTCAAGTCTTTATAAACTGATTAAGTCCTACCAAAATGTTTCTGCTTGATATACTTTTTTCTCTTTGACTTAGCATCTTTAGCCTCTTTTGCAATGAAAGTAGAGAGTACATTGTTTGAAAAGTCCTCAGCTCCAGGAGAGCCACAGGTAATTGCCACATTTCTTGCAGTTTATGTTTATTAGACTAATAAAAGAACTTTATGTCAGAGCATCTCACACTGCATCATGCTCTAGGTTTTCCTTTCTTTTTTTCTTTTTTTAATGTGAAATCATTTCAATATGAAATAATATGTACTACTGACAGCCACTTCCAACTTCCCTTTCAAGTCCAAATAGTGCTGTCTCCCCCACATCCCAAAATACAATTTTCAGATTGTTTTAAAAAACAAGCTATTCCAAGGAATGCAAGAAGAAAAAAACAACAGAGGGAAAAAACTTCAAAGAAAGAAAGCTTTTCTACTCAGTGAATTGTCATATCACATGCAAGTCTGATGAATATATTTTCTATTTCAAATACTTACAAGCTCCTTGTGGCAGTGACCAGGCTGTGAATGAAATATTTGCTCCTCTTTCTCCTGATCACCTAAAATTGCGTTTTGTCTTAAAATAAGTGTTTCTCTATTACTCTCATTTCCTTTTGAATTTTTCAAGTCATCAACTGGCATTTCAGACCCAACCTGCAAGGCCTTACTGCTTTCTGCTGCAGCCAACTCCTGTAAAAGAAAAGGCCAAAGGTCTGTCTATTAACACAAGGCAAATGCCAACACATGGACTAGGATAATATTCAATTTAGTTTTTGCTCATTAAATTATTATGCTCTCTGAATGCTTTACACTAACAATTTCTAGCTTTCAAATATTAAACTGCTATAAAAAGACAGGAATACAAAATGCTATTCACAATATGGAAAGACCAAACAGGGTTACTTGTCAGCTGCTGTAATTCAAGTTTCCTCTTGTCACATTAAATATTGTGTTTTGTCTCTGAATTACAGAATATTATGGTTTATCCTTTTACTTCCCTTTTCTTGTTTTGAAAAGGACCTTGAGTCCAAAGACAACAGAACACTAAGGGCTCAATCTAAATCCTAAGATGTTCAACTTTTCTAAAATACTAATCCTGTCAAAAGGAAACTAGAAGGAAGAAAAGCCTAAGTAAAGCTTGGCAAGCTGGAATGTCAGGCAGGGAAACATTACAGAGCTGCCAACAGCTTTAGAGGAGGAACTTGGTAAAATGGTGATGCCTTACACCTTAATGAGGAAATTGGATACTTGCTAGAGAATATTTGTATGGCCTCTTACAAATCTGACATTTTTGACTGCAAATAGTAAATCAGAGGTAGCTTTTATAAAAAGCTACAAGATACAATAGGTCTTACCAATAATTTTTAACCCATCCTGCTGCCTTGGCTTAGAGCTTCACTTCTGGTGGATGAGAAGCTTGAGATGACCCAGCAGCGTGGGCCTGCAGCCCAGAAATAACTGTGTCCTGGGCTGCATCACAACAAGCATGGGCAGCAGGTCAAGGCAGGTGATTCTCCTTCTCTGCTCCCCTCTCATGAGACCCCACCTGCACTGCTGTGTCCAGCTCCAGGCCCCCCCCAGCATCAGCAGGACATGGACCTGCCCAAGGGCACGGAGATGCTCCGAGGGCTGGAGCACCTCTGCTCTGGAGACAGGCTGAGAGAGTTGGGGTCATTCAGCCTGAAGAAGAGAAGGCTCCAGGGAGATCTTAGAGCCCCTTCCAGTGCCTAAAAGGGCTCAGAGAGCTAGAGAGGAACTTTTTACAAGAGCAGGTAGTGACATGACAAGGGCTAATGGTTTTAAAGGGAAAGAAGAGAGATTTACATTAGATGTTATGAATAAATTCTTTCCTGGCAGGGTGGTGAGGCACTGGCATAAGGTGCCCTGAAAAACTCTGGATGCCCCATCCCTGGAAGTGTTCAAGGCCAAGTTAGATGGGTTTTAGAGCAATCTGGTCTAGTGGAAGGTGTTCCAGACCATCCTGAACTGGAGATCTTGAAGGTCCCTTGTGATCCAAACTGCTCTGTGATTCCATGACTCAATGATTATCAGAAATAAAAACAGGTGATCCCTGGCCCCTTACAGACCAAGGTATGAATGATTGGAACAATACTATGCCGAGAGGAAACACTGTGGAAATCTGATGTGTGTCTATTAACTCTTCAAAACAACAGCAAAGAAACTAATGCAGTCTCTGGATGTCAACATGGAACTTAATGTGGAACAAACAGCATTATCCTGGCTAAAGACTATTCCTGCTCTTGTCAACTGATAGACCTCCTGCATCCTGTCACTCAGAAAGAGGCCTGACAACCTTTAAAATGCTCACCACTGTGGCTCTTGTAAGGCTTTTTAATCAGGCCTGAACTCTGTCAGCACTGGAACTTCCAACTTCTGGGAACTGCAGAAATGACAATTTTTCTCATGGATGTAAATGTATTTCCTTCATGAGACTACACAGTAATAGGAAGAAGGAATACCCAGAGAAAGGAATTTCTGTCCGCAGCAATAATGGTAGTGTACAAGAATGGGGAAAACCATGGAGTGCAGCACCTATGCAATACCATAAAAGCTACAAACTTGCCAGTAAGCCATTCCTAAACAATGTCAGGTCTGCAAATCCTAAAATTTAATGATGGTTTTTTGTATCACAGAAATGTTTATATATTCAAATACATATATATTATGTATATATAATATATATACACTATATAAATCCATGTGGATTTATAGAGACACAAAGAGAAATGAAATGTAAGAAAGTATTGCAAGAAGCACATGTTTAATTCAAAACATCATTTCCCTAATTCACAGAAGAAAACAGAAGGAACCACTTATTATATGTAATAATTTACAAACCTGTTCTTTCTTTATAATGTCTTGGGCATCCTGAAGTAGTTTTTTCTTGACCTCTCTTTCAGCTCTGTTTTGCTCTTCATATGCAGTAGTTACCACAGCCATGATCAGATTAAAGAGATAAAATGAGCAGAGAAGGATGAATACCACAAAAAAAAAAAAGGAGGTCACTCCAGATGTACGGATAGTCTGTGAGGAAAAGGTAAAAATTGTGATATATTCTTAACAAACTATTATTTACAATACAATTTCAAACTAACTTTAAAAAATTTCTTTTCCTATGCAATACAAAGGGTTAACATACTGCATAACTATTTTCATTAAACAAGAGTAGGATCAGCCTCTAGTCCAAGTCATACAGAAGGTCTAGAAATACACCCAGTCAAGAGTTCCCTCAGCCTTGAAGAAAATGGATTTCAGCTCTTAAAATCCTCTTTATGTTCACACCATGTTTTCTTTCTAGCATAACACCTCAAATATTCATAACAATACCTTAAACTGCACAGAAGAATTAATAAGACCCATTCTTAAAATTAAATTCAATTAAATATCTCCCAGCAAATCGGGTAAATGAACATCAAAGGTTAAGTTATGAGAAGACAACTTCAGCAGTGAAGAGCTATAGAGGTGACTACAGAAGAAATTAATGAAACTCAGAAATAAAGATGGGATTATCTAAACAACCATGAAAGATGTTATAATTACAGAATCAAGAGTCAATATTGAGAGTGATTATCTTACTCTTACATTTGCTTAAATGGCAGCAGAGGAGATGGCTCAAAATTAAGCTCTGAGACATTTAAATGACAAAAATAAGTTATATCTATTCTAAAAAAGAAGTCTTAAAAAAGGTTGATGGAAAAAAAAGTTAAAGAGGACAAGGCAGAGGATAATTCTTGTCTAGTAAAGGCACTGCATAGACATAGGGGATCCAGAAAGTTGTCTGCATGCATTTTTATAGCATTTCTGAAAAAAAAACCCACCAGAATTGAAAAGGTACATTCAACTCTCTGAATCAAAACATCAAGCCTCCAAATTTTTAATGTCAGTTGTCAAAAATGATCTGAAACTAAAGTGTTGAGCCAAAAGGTTTGGTGAGGAGTCAGGACTTAAAAGGAAGAGGAACAGAGAAGGCAACAAGTCCTCACGCTCCCTGCAGCAGCAGTGAGCTCACTGGCTGGATCTGCTGTATATCCCAATCCTTGGGTGGTTCCATACTCATATTTCACTCTTAACCACTGACCCCAGTGTGTTCTCCTACAGAACTATGGGCATTCCCAACAGGATTGCTCCCATTCCATGTCCCTTGCAGAAGGTGTTACAACTTAGTCACTTGAACCTACTCCCTTAATATTTACATGGATTTTGAAGGAAATGTGCTGTCAGTAAGGTTAAAACCAGTAGAGGTTTTTCTAGTGGCTCTGAATTGCATGTGTCAAGTCATTCTATCAGGTAATAGAAGTACCCACCTGTCTGTAGAGACGCTCCCAGGAATCCAGTGTCATCAGACGGAATACAGAGAGGAAGGCCCAGCCAAAATGATCAAAACTTGTATAACCAAAGTCAGGATTCTGCCCAATTTTCTGGCAGGTATAGTTTTCTGGGCACTCTTTCCTAACCCCAAAATAAAGATTAAACTATACTTACATGGAGATTTAACGGTACCTGAGAGCACCCAATAGACAACACCAAATTTGTTCAGTTTATCTGAAAGTCCATTTCATTATTCCCCAATTTAATTCTGCCAGAAGGGCTGATTTATACCAAACCATCCTAGAAAGCCATTTGTCTAATCAGAGAAATCTAGAAAGAAACCTTAGTTTAGGACTAGACAAAAAGTGTCCCCTGATGTAGGATATGTGCAAACAAATACACAGAGAGGGGGAAAATGGAATTATTTTTAGTTTTAAATAATTCACCAAGATGAGGGGAGGAGAGTTTATTAATCTCTAACAGGTCTTTACTGATCTCTTCTTCTCCTCATTTATATCATTCTACCTTACCATTACGTTCCCAGTGGTTAGCAACAAAGTACATACATAAGTGGTTGCATCCTTGTACTTCATTCTTTTTCTAATGTGAAATACTTGGCTTTTAATTTAATGACATACATGCATCCCCATCCTCCTGAAAAATCCTCACCATTCCTTTAGACCAGAAATAAAACCACAGGACATCTGGAGGAACAAATTAAGAAAGTACTAAAACTGCTTTGGTCACTTACTCAGGATCTGAACTGAAGCCACAGAGCAATATGTCAGAAGAGCCATTCATTCTGTGGCAGATATCTAATAAAAAATAAATCAAGGAATCATAAAATCAGAAGTTGTCAGTTTGCACAGCCTTCTGACAGGAAACTATACATTTACTGCACTTGATAAACACCCTGAGGGATCAAAGCTCTGGGAAGGATCCTTTCACAACAAAGGATGTATAGGGCTGATTCTCAGCAAATCTGTCTCTATGACAGACTAAAAAAAGTGGCAACTCTTTACTGCACAACTCACAATGTAAGATTTCATTTGGTCTCTGCTAAAAGTAAGAATTGCTGTGAGAAGTAGGCAAAATCCCTGAAATACAGAAAAAGTGATGGGAAAATAACCATTCCCTGTGCAGTACCCCTAAAATTAGGATCCCTGTACCATGCACAGGTTAAAAGGCAAATGCTTATAGAAAACTCAGCCCCATCTATCCCACAGACTGCTAATCTTTCTCCAAATTCAAGATTCACTAATTTCACATTCACTGGTCCCAGAGACTTCATATTAAGACTTGTGCAAACGGAAGGGTTTTCCTTCTTGGGAGAAAGACATGCAACTTTAGTTTAACATACCTCTGAAATTCAAGACATTCATAGGAAGATACACAACTTATGTAAAGAGACAAAAGAATAACATTTACCTTCATCACTTGGTACATAGATCTTGGGATCCTTACATAATGAGTCATTGTACACAGTATTATTGAGGATACATTTGAATCTTAAATTGCCCATAAAAAGCTGGAGGCCTATTAGGGCAAATATACTCAAGCAAAATATAGTAAAGATCATCATGTTAGCAAGTTTCTTAACAGATTCAACAAGTGAATTTACGATGATTTTCAGACCTAGAAAAATAAGATCCAGTAATATGCAAAATGAGAAGAGGAATGCAGTGACATTCCCATATGACAAGACACAGTAGTTGCAAGGATGTTGAAAACAATCAGAGTAACTTGGTATGTAACTTCTGAGTATTAAATGAGGTAAAACAAAGCATAGCAGTGAGTAAAGCATTTTTCCTTAAATTTCCTAATCATAACTTCTTTGGCTTCTGTTTAGTACTAACACTAATTTTGCTATCTTGCAAATTCTAAATTAGGATGGTATCTTAGCAAAGTCTTACAAACTTTAATAAAAATGGACAGATTTCTGTGCTTGATTAACACTAAACAAGTACTTCACCCTGGGCCAAATACACATTACAATGACAAAGAGGGTGACTGTTTCCTGGGCTGTGTTAGGCAAAGCATGGCCAGCAGGTCAAGGGAGGTGATTGTTCCTCTACCCAGCCCTGGTGGGGCCACAGCTGGACTACTGGCTCCAGTTCTGGCCCATGGACACACTGCAGAGTCCAGCAAATGGCCACAAACATGGGGAAGGGACTGGAGCAACTCTGCCACGAGGAAAGGCTGAGCTGGGCCTGGTCAGCCTGGAGAAGAGAGGGCTCAAGGGGGATCTCCTCCATGTCTGCACAAATCTGAAGGGAGAGTGCAAAGAGGATGGATCCAGGCGCTTTTCAGTGGTGCCCAGTGCCAGGGCCAGAGGCCATGGGCACAAACAGAGACATGGGATGTTCCATCTGAACATCAGGAACCACTTTTCTACTGAGAGGGTGACTGAGCACTGGCACGGGTTACCCAGGGAGGTTCTGGAGTTTCAATCCTTGGAGATTCACAAAAGCTGTCTGGACTTGGTCCTGGGTAACCAGCTCTCAGTGGCCCTGCTTGGGCAGTGAGGCTGGACCAGACGACCTCCAGATGTCCCTTTCAAACAACCATTCTGGGATTCTGAGAAAATGCCTTATATATAAACTTAAGCCCAATACTGAGGCAGAATAATTGAATCTGAGGTATGATATAAGCAGACAGGGATATCCAGGATTTTTCATAAGAAAAAAAGTCAAATTATACTTGATCTCTGTTCTCCATGCTGAATATGAAAGGAAAAGTATTTCATGTGGTTTGACAATAAAATTAAACACTTTCTATGTTTAATTCCTGCTACAATTCCAGAGCAAAATCAAAACTATATTTTCAATTACATAGAATAGGTAAAGTTACTATATATATGACAATATATATAGTCATTGATAGATTTTCAAATGAATTTTTGCAGGTAGACCCTGAAATCATCCTTTGGTATCCTAGTTAGGGGCATGACTTGGAAACATATCAAGTATCTGGATGGTATATGCAACATACTGCTGAAAGTATTGCACTGAATCCAGATAGTGGCTGTGGTCAGCAAGGAAACAAATGAAAGTCTCAAATATTGTGAAGTCAGCATTCTCGGGAAGAAACAAGAGAAGATTAAGCCACTGAATCTTAGCAAGCTAGTTAAGCTAAGGAAACAGAAATATGGGGGTATAGCCATATTGTGTTAAGAGAACACATCAAATAGAGGAGGCTGCTCCAGGAAGACTAAGGTAAAAAGAAAAGGGAAAGGGGCTAATTGAAATTGAACATTAGTGATGGGATAAAAAGTGCAGAAATTAAATTTGCCTTTGTCAAAACCATTTGGAGGAAAGATGATTAAAATAATTCTGTTAGGATACTGCTGAGAGTTACTACAGACTGTAAAACAGTCACACCTTGAGATCCCATCAGCAGTCACAGAAGGGGACCAGAAAGCTGAGGACAAGAACAGGAGAGGAATTAGAATTAGCACACTGGTGAAATGGAGAGGATAGCAGTAAGATTGTTCCTTACCTGGTATTACTGAAATGGCTTTCAAAGTCCTCAGCACTCTGACAGATGCAAAAAGTGAAACATTGCCTATAATTATAAATACAGCAACGTGCCTATAAAATAAAACCACATATAACTGAATGGCAAGGATGTAACTTTTCAAACCATAACCCTGTTGAGCCAGTCTATGACTATTTTTCTCTTTGCACATATGCAAATGGTGGTTCAAGCACAGTAACTCTTTAGCAGGTAGGATGCCAAACACTTCAAGGAATTTCAGAAACATCAGATAGTGCTTTATCTGTTGTTTTGTCCCTCGAGTGTAAAACAAAACTGAGTTTTACTTACATTATGATAACAATAGAAAGATCCAAGCAGTTCCACGGATCTCGAAGGAAGGTAAATTCATTCCAAACAAATCCTCTTGCTACTATTTTTATTAATATTTCAATAGTATATATGCCAGTAAAAACGCATCTGAGGAGGAAAGAGTATATTAAGAATATAGAAATAAAAATATTAATGAGATTGAGTCACATTCAGGCACATTCAGGCATTTCCTAAGATTTAACCCCTACATGGAGTAAAGGTAGACAATGTGAAGTAAAATAGGCCTGGTTACGCTACTTGCAGAAGCATCATGGGTATAAGAAGATGTGTTCCCCAGTTCTAGTAAGACTGCAGGTAGTAAATCTGTAACCACAAAAGTTCACAGAAGCATACGATTCTATTTCTGGGTGAAGGATAGCTCACACTTCCTTAGGAAACATTTTTAACACTGTGTTTATATTCTAAAGCAGGTTGGAAAATTTCAAAGCCTTGACATTCTGACAGAACAATAGAACGAAAGAGCAATTGAACAAAAAATTGAACTGTAAAGTTTGCACATTTTACACATTTAGTCTGAGAAAAACTCTATCGTGGAAAGTAAACCTACAGAAAATTAAGCTCTTCTTATCACCATGCTTACCCCAAGATAAAAGGGGCTCCGGGGTCATTTTCAAGATTTAATTCTAGAACAACAAGTCAAGTTGCACTAGATACAGTGCACAAGTACAAAGGGTAGCAAGCCATTACAAAGAGATGCCTTTCTAATGGGAACAACTGACCCAGGAGTGTCACCAGGAAACAGGAAGAAAGAACAGAATGCATATTTATCCCTTTCTAGTTTTTGCATGAGCCAACCATAACAGACATTCAGGTTATTGCTGTAGAAGGAGAGATATTAAGTTAGAATTCGACCCCACAGTCTCTCTAAAAGGCTCATTCCTTGAAAGAAAAAATGGGTCAACCTTCTATGCCACAGCAGATAGCAAAATTAGCCAACACAGAGTAAAGGGTACATGGTGTGAGCCTCTGAGAAAAGGCACTGAAGCTCCACCAAAGACTGGGAGATATAATAACAATCCTCAATCTTCCTCAGAGGTCTGACTGAGAATTTTCAAGGCCCTGAATTAGATCACCACATTGTTTAAATTTTTCCGTCCTGCATGTTAGTATCCATGGAAAAAGAGGGAACATAGAGCCACTGAGATACTTACTCAATCCAGATGAGTGGTAGTGGAATATCAGGTACAGTCATAAGCACACAATTGAATAACACGGTACATAAAATAAAGACAGCAAAACATGTGAATAGTAAGTTAAGGAAAAAAATGCTACATTATAAAACAATGAAGTTCACAGAAGGTCCTGTTTTCCACACAAAAAGCATACAGGCATTCAAATAACAACTTTGGTTTTGAATATGCTCAGGACATTTCATGTGTTTTCCAGAGAAATTAAGTTAGACCTTAAGTGGGACATAATATGTTTAACAGAAGAGATGAGAAACATAAATTAATGAAAACCAGTTGAAAAAGCTTCATTAATAATAACCAATGTTCTTTGAAACTGGGATTCCATATCCACATGTTAGCAAAACACCCCTCTGCTCTGCAGGAGTTCAGAAAGCTTTCTCACTTTATGTGGTAGGCAGTGAAAACGTGCATAAGAAAAAACATTCATGACAGTTCACCTGCCATCTAATAAAACTGTTTGGGGTGTTTTTTAAATAAACATTGTTCTTAAATGTAAGGTTTAATTGAAAGTGAATAGTAAATTTAGTAATTTCTAATACTAGGAATACACATTCAGAGTCTGACATAAGTTCCACTAAAAGGGTCTATTTTTAAGAACTAATAATTCCAAATAAGTAGAGATGTTTAGCAGAAAAAGCAGAAACTACTCACTTGGTGGTTTTGCATCTGCAAATCCTTCACATTCTGATATTTTCCAAACTACAGTTGTATTGTTTCAAAAATACAAAAGATGGGCACTCTTCAGAACATTCTAAACTTGAGTGTGGAATGTATTTCTTAGGAAAACATGAGACTCTTTCAGCAAAGCTTCACCATAAATCCCATCTTTCATATCTTAATAACTAGGGAGTCCCTGGTTTGCTTTGCTTGTTAGTTTGTGTGTTTTTAATTTAACCTTGTGACCACAGCAGAGATTTCGAACAAGTTCTGGAAAAGGGCTGCAATGTCATACAATAGCCTCTAAAGGTTGTTTCATACCACTATCTGCAAAATTGATTTTAAATATCAGCTTGTATCAACATCATGGAAATATCTCAGCTGTTGTAACATTAGATTCAATATAACTTTTAAAATATCTCTATCAGCCATAACTATATCAGAGCTTATGTTCACATTAATATAAAGAAAGGAATAGAATGACAGAAAATGGTACAGAATATTTTAAAATTCAAATAAGGGAAACCAATGAAAGGATATGAATTGGTCAGAATTTTAATTGCTGCTTTTCTGATTGGATTAAAAGGACCAAATATACACAAGGCAGGTGTGGCAGTAAACCGGAAAATAGTCCTCTGTTTGTTTAGCACCATAAAAGTCTACAAAGAAAAGATTCATAGGATAAGAAATATTTAAAGGAATTAAAATTTCCCCAAAAAGTAAATGTTCAGATTTTCAAGTCTGCATCTAGAACTATATAAAACTGCAATTATGAGAAAAGCTTTCCCGTTTTCTTACTTGGAGCTGTGACCTGGCCATACACATTTGGAAGGAAAGACAGCAACTCTATAAAAGTGCATTGCTGCCTGAGAGGAAGAAGCAGTCATGAGAATGAGTGTGAAGAGCAAGCGATCATATTCACTTGGTCAAAGTAATTAAATTACTTAAAGCAATTAACTAGTAATTACTATTCTAGGACTGCAAAAATTGTCACAGTCACACTCCAAAGTACCTTACTCTTGGATAGTTTTATAGGCTACAAAACCTTATTTACAAAATACACATTGGGTAGGACTGCCAGAATCCCTGACATCCACAGGAAAAATTAAAAATTTGAAGTATCCCCAAATTATCAAGCAGCTCTGTAAATTCCTTCTCAGCTACCTCAAGTTCTACACAGCTCCGTACTTGTGCTACATGTAAAAATGAGATATCATGAACGAAAAACACAGTTTCCTAATGTACATTCTTCAATTGAATCAGCCTCAGTTTCTCTTCATCAACACTATTACTTTGATTACTTGGAGAAAACAAATCTCTGGAAGAACAAAGTCTTCTGCATGTTCTCCCATTCAGTTATTACATTCCAATGCCTTGCTGGTCATTTCATAAAGACAGCAGCACAGCACTGCATGGAACCTCCAGCTCTTCAGGTCAAGTCCCCCTCAACAGTAAGCAATCATACAACAGACACTTAATTAAGAAGGGATTCCTACAGCATCTACTTTAGACACTCCCCCAGGCAACAACACCAACCCCTTTGCAATCGCATGGAGGATTTGCAATATAAATATGACACAATAAACAAAGCCAACGAGACATAAAATAGCAGAAAATTAATTTACAGCAATGTAAATACATGGGTTTGCTAAGCAGAGTGCTGGAAATATCTCCAATATGCCTCCCCTAATTGGTATAATCTTTGTAATTCAGTGAAAGCATCTGCAATTCGAAAATTATCTACTCTTGGACAGGCACTGCTTATACCACAGGCATCACAGAAATTGCTCTGCAAAACAAAGCATCCCTTATCCCAGAATATATTTCCTGTAGAAGTGTGTATTATGTCTTCATCATTAAATCTGACTGCTGACTGGAACTGAAGATACCTCTTCATGGCATAAAGCAGAGCACACCTCAGGACTCCCGCCCCAAAAGATGTCAGGAATGTTAAAAGACCTGTCTGCACAACAATCAAAACCCAGCATCTCCCAACTAGAGCTTTTACTATCCCCTAAGAGTTCAACAAAGTTAAATCAAAGAAATGCTTTTGGAAGTTTTAACCTTGTGATCACTGTAGTATGGATCAAAATCCTTCAGGGGCTCCCCAATGAGCTCTGATGGAATGTCCCCATAAAGGGATGGCAGCTTTTTGTAGATTTGCAGATCAAGCCGGGGAGTAAGTTGTTCTTCTTCAACTCCTTGGTCCTTATGCTTCTCTTTTTCTTTGTCTGGCTGCTTTTTTTTCTCAGCAATTCTTTGCTCAATTGCTGCCAAGGACTCAGGGGTGAAACGTCGAAAGCTGTTAGCTTCTGATGGCCAAGACAAGCGATCCATTTTTCCTTCTGAAGGTTTGTTTCCAGTGCTAGAGGCAATTGAAGAAAAAAAGCTATGAACAATTAGAAAATAACAGAAATAATACACAGTTTTAGACTACTATCTGTTAGATAAATGATTTCTGACTTCTATGAAACCCCGCATCAAAATATAATAGAATAGAGTAGAAGAGGAATTTCAGCTGGAAGGGACCCACAACAACCACCCAGTGCAACTGTCTGAGCAATTCATCAGGGCTGACCATGTTAAAGCTGTTCCTAAGGGCACTCTCCCAGTGCCTCTTGAGCACTGACAGGCTTGGGGCATGGACCACCCCTCCAGGAAGCCTGTTCGAGGGTTCAACCACTCTCTTGGTAAAGAAAGGCTTCCTAATGTCTCACCCCAACCCACCCCCAGTGCAGCTTTGTACCATTCCCACACATGCTGTCACTGGATACCAGGGAGAGAAGCTCAGCACCTCCCTCTCCACTTCCCCTCCTCAGGAAACCGTAGAGAGTGTTGAGGTCACCCCTTGGCCTCCTCTTCTCCAAACTAGACAAGTCCAAAGCCCTCAGCCCCTCCTCACAGGACATTCCTTCCAGCCCTCCCACCAGCCTTTTTGCCCTCCTCTGGGTGCATTCAAGGACCTTCACATCCTTCCTAAATTGTGGGGCCCAGAACTGCACGCTGTGCCCCATGTGAGGGAGGCCACCCCTGTGTTTGCTCTGTTTGATGCACCCAGGATATAAGGCAAAACCAACTAGAAGCTCATTCATTTAAAAGAAAGAGTAATGTAAAACAAACTCCCAACAAAGATCAACACCTAATTCTTTGAAACACTCTGCATTTTTCATTGCTGAGGTCCAGCTGTGCTATTTCTGTCTTGTGAGTTCACTTATGGACCATAGGTGTTAGGGAATCAATAACCTCTGGTAATTACTGCTCTCTTCTTCAGATGCCAATATATTCTTTTTAAAGAATATGCAAACAATAATCTTTGCACAACCATTTTATTTGGGTTTATGGGACTTGGGTGTTTTTTTTTTCCTCCTCTGGGACTTTACAAGCAAGTTCAGATCTGATCAGGAACCACAGCTTAGAGATTAGAATTTGTCATGGTAACAAAATGGAAGCATATAACCAAAGAACTGGTACTTTGCCAAACCACACAGACCCATTTCCAATTGAAAGCTCAAAAGACAAAGTGAAAATCAAGATGCTCTTTCTTGTTTTTTTTTTTTAACTTTTAATAACTCTAAGAAGATCGAGTTGATCTTCAAAGCAATTTTAAGGACAATAGAGAGACTGAGCTTTTAGGGAGCTATATTGACTGTAATAAAGGAAGCAAAGAAATCTGTTTTAGCAAATGCAAACATTGGTTTAATATTAAGGATTTGGGAGCTGAATTTTTGAAAAAAATGAAGACTGAATCTAGAGGTTATAACTAACAGATTTAGACTTTTGAATTGAAAAAAAAAAAGATTCAAGCCTTACACACAACTCCTTGATTTGGTTCCATCTATGCAAATTTCAAAACTCCTTTCAGCTCCCTAAAAGCACAAAGAGCTCCTTTTAGGTGTGGCAAGGCAACAGCAATCAAACTATTGACCATTAGATCTCCAACAGTCCATAAAAGTGGAATTTAAACTCATAGAACTGCACAGTAAAACACAAGCAAAGTCAGTAAGGGGCATTTTTGAGGAATTTCTTGAGACAGGAAAACTAGAAGGAACATAAACAAGAAAATGTCCTTATTTATGTTTCAATCTAGTTTTAGCATGTATTATAACCACTTCTGAGTCCCAAAGTATTTCTATCCATTCCCTTCTCAAGAGCCACCCACCAAATATTTCCTGTGAGCACCTGGATCTGAAAAAATAAAGAGTAAACTAACTGCTTAGTTTGGTTTCAGGATGCATTTAGTAGAATCTTCCACAGGGGAATAAAGATGTGTTCATTTCTTCATCTGGAATAAGACAAAAATGAGAAAGCAGCTCAGAGCAACACCTTAGGAAACAGGACAGACAAAACTCTCTTTTCTGTGCTGTACAATACCTTGCCAAAAGCTACAGCTATCACCTACTCCGTTTTCAAAAAAAGTAAATACTTCAATAATTATCTCAATAGTTATCCGTCTCAATAATTATCAGCAGACTTAACAGATTTTAGTCCTTTATAAAATCAAACTTGGACATTTTAGAGGACTACTGCTGTTTCTAAATTGCGTGGTCATTTCTTCCACCTAACACTTTGTCCCCCATTCTCCACTTCCCACGCCTACCCCCAACCCAAGAAACCTTTTTGTTTGGATTATTTGGATAAATATCTACCACTGGGTTGTTTTGGGGGATTCTTTTGGAGGGACTGTTGTTTGATTTGGTTTGGTTTTCTAACAAATGTAATATACAAAGTTATTCACAATACCAAAATATTAATATAATATTTACTATAGTATAATATAATCACTCATTACTTCCAAAATCAGAAATGTATGTAACCAGCAGGACTGGGCATTACTTAAACATCCTGAAAAAAATCACCAGTCACCTTCCAGAATTTCTGGGAGAAAGACATTCCAGACTTGTGTAGGTAAAGAAAATTCGTTATGTCAAGATGAGTATAACAGTAAGATTAAACAGTACTACAGCTGATTTGAGGAATGCCATGCATAATCTGAGGCAACAAAACAAGACAAAAGGCAGTCAGTAATTAATATGAAAAATATATCAATGTTTAGTAAAATGATTTCCTGATACATGGATGTTATAAGAAGGGCTACATATTTACAGCAATATAGTGATTCTACATTAAAGGCACGTTTTCTTATGCAGCTTCTCCCTGTACTTCAAATAAAACCACATCTAAGACTTAAAAACATGTCTGTACGTATTTTTATATATATACACACACGCATATATATATGCATCCCTAAATATTTTGATCAAATATATCATATTATCTAAATTAAGAAAATAGGCAATTGAGATTTCACAGAATCAAAATGCTTACAACATCCCCTTCAAAATAAAAAACCTTCACACTGCTTTCTGAAGCTAATGTTGTCTGGCTTTTATCTCCAAAGAGGCAGAAAGTCTTTGTTTTCTCACCTTCACCATTCTGTTCCCTAGAACATCCTTGCTCCCTGGCCATCGCCCACATTGGGATGCTTGGGGGACGGATGGAGGGAAGAGCATGGCTGCGTTTCTGACAACAATAAATGAAATTTTCTAATTGTCACGTTGAAAGGTGAGAGTTTAGATTTTGCCTGTTGGTGCCCCAAGGAAAGTCGAGACCCTGGTGTCCGACAGCCTGTCAGCATCTCGTAACGAGACCCTTCACCAACAGAGTCATGAGGTTGGAGGGCACCTCAACCACCTTTGTTAAGGGGGACTCAACAGAGCAAAAACCCCTCAGTGGGTCCTGCCAAGGTGTTTTCTGCTCCCTACAACTGCAAGGACTCACTTTAACAGTTTAGGGAATAACACTTTTTATTAATACAGTTTGGGGCAGGTTAATAAGGTTCAAAGGTTGTCAGTGATAATGCAATCTACTGATCCAGATATTAAGCGAGTACAAGCTCTGATACAAAGCAATCTGCTAATATGCTATGGGGTAAGCACAAGCAAAAGCCTTAGTTCTAAAAGCAGCATTTAATGCATATAGAATGTAGTTCTCACCCAAGGCGTCCCTCTGGGGGGAGAGAAGATGGACTCAGCCCGTCGACCAATCCCAGCAGTTTCAGTGGAGGTCTTCTCCCACTTTCCCCCTGTCCACAACCTACTTTTAAACTACTTTGTTTGTGTTTGGGTGGAGTTTGAGTGGCTCTAGTCAGAAATACCTTTTGTTTCTGATTGGTCTACGTAATGGGAGGGGGTGGTGGTTGTGGCTTGGCATCTGAGGAAGGGGTTTGATGTGGCTGTTGGCTTCAGCAGCAGAACATCTTGATTCTCCCTTGTCAGACAGACACTGTACGGTCTCAGTTCCACAATGTTCTCCCATTCTGCTGGGATTAGAATGGAGGGGGCCACAGAGTCTCCACTTGGTTCCACGCTCCGTTCTGTTCCTCTGAGCAGATGTTTAACATTGTACTGGGGAGCATGTCGACCTCAGTCTGTCCAGCGAGTTGCAGTTGCTTTTTACCCTGAAATTCTGAATCCCATCTAGGTTTAACTCTCCCCATCATCCCACAATGATCTCACTGACAACACTGTACAAATGGGAAAAGTGCTTGGGTGATACCTTTGAAGAATAATCACCTAAGTATTAATCCACGATTTTCTTTCTGCTGAAATTATAGTTATATGTATGAAAAGCAAAGAGGAATTTTTGTTCAATTGGAAATATATGTGTAAAATATAACAAAGCAAAAGGTTTCCCGTTTCAAATGTCACTCTGAGGTTTTAGCCAGCTGAACTTTCAGGCATACATTAAAATATTGGCACCCAATTTACCTTGTAGTAAAAGCTTTTGGTTAGAAATTAGAGTTATATATTACTGTGTTTCATTCCTGAATTTCTATTTTTTATTATTCCCAGGCTATGGTGTATGTTCATTATATCTTTTACAGAAAAAATCTGAAAATCAAATATATTATTTCTTATACAAGATCAGTGCCCAAAATACATTTAGTATCACACTGTGCCATATTTTCGATTAAAAAATGCAAGTCTTTTTTGAGTAAAATAAACCCCACAACATTTATCCTCAGATCTGAAATTGCTTGTATTTATTTAAATAAATGTATAAAGCCTGCTAGCAACAGATATTGGACAATAACACAAACACATTAATGGTAAGACCTGATGGTGAGTATTTCTCTTAGTTACATTAACAGAATCCATTACTCTCTAAAGTTTTTTTCTTCTTTATTGAGTAGGATGTGAATCTTTTCTGATGATAAGAGAGTTGCTCTGGGTTTTGCTGGAAGAATTCTACTGAAGGAACTATGCTATCCTTGAAAGCCAGGCTGCCCTAATGCAGGCAAACACACAAACAGTGATCAAACACTTTGCTTGATTGGTACCATCAGGAAAGGAAACA